GAATCCGGAAACCTCAACCCGAAGACGTTCTGCTGAGCTGCAGATGTCTCAAAGGTCTTTACGCAGAATATTAAGAGGAAATTTACATCTGTTTCCATATAAAGTGCAGCTAGTGCAAGAACTAAAACCAGCAGATTTTCAAGAACGACTAACTTATGCAGTTCGCTTGCAAAGAATGGCTCGAGAAGATAATGAATTTATTCATTCTCTGATCATGAGCGATGAAGCCCATTTTCATTTGAATGGCTTCGTAAATAAGCAGAACTGCAGAATATGGGGTACCGAGATCCCAAGGGTGGTTCATCAAAGGCAATTACATCCGCTTAAATGTACAGTATGGTGCGCAGTTACGTCTCAACGAATTATTGGACCATTCTTCTTCGAAGACCACGATGGGAATGCTGTATCTGTAGATGGCGACCGATATCGTGATATGATTCAAAATTTCTTAAGACCAGCTCTTGCTGACAATCAAACGATGACTTTCCAACAAGATGGAGCCACTGCGCATACTGCTCGAGCCACTATGCACCTTCTAAGGCAGATTTTTGGTGAACGTTTAATTTCGAGAAATTCAGGATTCAATTGGCCCGCCCGCTCGCCGGACTTAACAGCCCCTGATTATTTCCTTTGGGGATATCTGAAAGGAAAAGTGTATATTAATAAACCCACAACCCTGCAGCAACTAAAAGATAATATTCTAGCAGAAGTAAGTGCTTTGGGGCCAGATATTCTGACTCGGGTAATGGAAAATGCTCTTGCAAGAGCTGCACTTTGCGAGGCTGAAAATGGCGGTCATTTGCGTGATGTAATCTTTCACACTTAAATTGTAAACAAACTCCAAACATTGCATTTTAGTTTTGTGTTAGGGAAAAAAATTAAAATTAAAATTTAAAAAAGTTATTAATTTTTCAAATCCCTTCGCGACTTTTGCCCCACCCTGTATTTAGAGAAAGCATGCAGCTTTTCTTTACATTTCAGACCCTGCGGGATAGTCTTCATAATATATTCCCAAGTTATTATATAAGTAAATCTTTCTGGATATGAGGCTTCGTTTTTCATTGAATGTTCGACTTACTGCGTAGCTATGGAGATATTGTCTCGCGTACTTGCGAGTAAGGCAATACGAGTATTATAACATGTGGCTCACTTATACGTGCTTTTTCTTATGCATTATTTCACAGAGAATGCGTCAGTGGTCGCGATCTGTCATAATATATCGATTTATGATTGTCTAGCATGCCATCATGTAAGGATTTTTTTCGGCTTTACGATAATAAGTATTCGACAAATTTGGCAGAGCAACCATTATCGGACTAGCAGTGCTGCCTGAAAATCTCATGGTTTTCAGGAGTGTCCTCAACAAGACGACTATATTTCCTACGCTGCAAGTGAGATCATGGCTCAATTGCTAAGACAGTTTCCCGTTTCAGAATGGCGGATTGATAACCTGGACATTTTTATTTGCTGCTTGTTGTCGTAAATATACATAAGCCGGGTACGATTTGAAATTTGTAACCAACTGCACTCACGTTATTTGCCAAATATAACCCGAAATAGTGCGAAACGTCATCGAACTTTGGTATACTAGGACTGCCCACGTTAACTGCAGATAGTGCTTCGTTTATTCGATAATAAAGATAACTCTGTAACATTGATTGCTTCTATTTCTTTTTAGTTTAAAACAAGCACGCCTGAATGAACCACCCAATAGTTGCCTACAATTTTATTGTTGTTGTATTAACACGTTTGGATATATTATTAATTTTATGTATGCTTTTGCTCCTTCCAGATGCGTCTCATTATTTTTGCGCCAACTAGGCACATGGTTACTACTGAATATCTATTGGAGACAACAAATAATATTACCTGCCCACCAAATTCAGTTTCTTCAGAAATGAAATGGGTTGATTAAGTGACGACTCATGTTTCGGCTAACTCAGTAACGTTTCAATTTTAGCACCAGAATATTGGTCTACTAGCCAGAAACAGATTATATTTACAGTTAATAATAATAGTATCATTTTCGGCAAACGCCACATAGATCTACACAGACAGCATACCAACTGAACCACTAATAACAGAAGTGATTGAGGTAAAAGGAATAACTAGGAAATGTAAACAATCAGAGGACACCCACCGCTGGCCTACGGATCCTTCAAGGAGTATAATGACAAACAAGACTATGGAATGGCGTATTTTCTTAATCCATATGGCAGAATTTTGTTTTGTTTTTTTGGGTCTATATTGAGTCAAGACTCTGTCTGAGATCTCTGTAAAAGACATCGCAATAACTCTTTGTCGTGTTGTATCTAAACAATTTATGGTTCGAGACACCTTCCATACTACGGAATTTGTACAATTCTGAATTTGTCACATATAACCTGTTGAAAGCTATATTGACAACAGGACAACCTGTTAATCTAGTTGCAGTAGTTGTAGTACGGCTCAGAGTATCAACCCGATGCTCAAAATTCAATTGCACTAATTTGACATTTTAAGAAGCTGCTGAGGGAAGAAAACATGAGTGGAGATCAGGAGTGGTTTCAGAGATTGAATATTTGTTTGCTGCATGAATATCAACCATATTCAAGTTACGAAGCAAAGCCCTAATCACTCATATAATGCGTCTACACGTTTGTAATTGCTGGATGAAGCGCCTCGCTTAATTAGCGGCTAATTATTATCATGGGTATGTACACTGTACATGTCCAGAAACAAAGTACTTAAACAGATAGCTGTAATTTACCGTAATACCAGTTACACCATCATACTCGACTATTTAAATGGCGCATCAAGTCCATGAATAAACCTTCTTTGCTACCCATACTGCATAAAGGATACCTTCTTCATCCCCAAATAAAGTCACATCCTCACTACTTACACTTGCCAAGTGTCTGCAAATATCTAAAAATGATTTCAAAATATTTTTCCTAATCTACTGTGAATTTTAGGGTCTGTGGTTGTACCTTTTAGTTTCCTTAGAATCCTTATGTACGATTTCCTGAGATCGAAAAACTACTACCTAACGTTCCGGAAAATTATGTTACTTTCTTAGCTAGTTTGATCCTTCTCCTTCGTGCTAAAACTTGGTCAGATGTCAGATCGGTCTCAACATTTTTTTCTGGATAATACCTACGGGGGCATAAAGCTTTGTAAAGCTTCAGGTTTCTAGGTCGAACTATTCGGTCTGGAGACACGCACAACGAGTTTAGATGTTGGAAAAAATGGCAGCTTTTCCATTTCCTCGCTAATCCTGCTGCTATAATACCACCACCCTGAGGTACAATCGTCCAAAAACCTCAAATCTGACCCCCACATTGCCATCTGAGAGTTAAGTCAGCAGATATTTCAGTTAAAAATGGTTGCATTAAAGATTCCGAATTTTTTATTGAGCAGATAGGCCTTCAGATCCATTTTCCTAAAATTCTGGTCAATAAGGAAACCGTTGCGTAATAAAAACGTTTTCCACATAGAGTTTACAGAAGTTAACCAAATTTCTTTCCAAATAACTCAAAATTGGAAAAAGAAACCCAAATTTCATCATATTTCAACAAACACTATAGTTCAGCTAACCCCTGTAATTAACCGAAATAACGAAAATTCGTTATAAAGGCTTGCCGCGGCTAATTCAGCTGTTCTGTGGATATTTTGTTTTGTAAGGCATTAGAATTGGCATCCCAATAAAACCGTGATAAAAATTTGGAGACCATTTATGAGTTTCCTGGACAAGTTCCCTTCAGATTAGCCATAGATTATGGACCCTTAAGCGTTTAAGGAGTGGGAGGAACAAGAAAATAAAAAAGTCGTCAAAACGCTAAAATTGAAACTCTGAGCGTATCATCAGACGAAACTGATCTACCCAAGATCCTGAATTTTTTGCAAAGCATCATGCCCTCCGTACTCTAAAATGTTATATATCTATACGACCCTCAATACCACGTCGAAGGATCATAGTTGTGATACCTATTAAAACATACTTTATGCGTAGTTCTGCCCTAATATTGACCATAATCCATTTCCATAAGACTCTGAGACCAGAAAAATCTATAACCGATGATAGGCAAGGAGGAGTTAATTGTTCTAGGGACAAAAGTTAATCCTTACTACTCTTGAAACAATCAAGGTTCTGAACATATTGACGTCTAAATGATTTATTTTGTATTTGCTCTGTATTTCTAGGAATACGAGAAGTTTTAGTAAGCGTATGATCTTGTGAAGATGTACATGTACATGTTTCATCCATTATATACACATTTCTCCTAGAAAGTACTGAACATTAAAACGTTACACGATGAAAGAATAATCTTATTCGAGTAGTGAGCTTGGCTTCTTACATCGATATAGCTATATCATACTAAGACCTTACCAATTTTGTTCGCTCCTTTCAGCGTCTGCGATCGCACGAAATCTGGTACACAGTATTGCAAACAACTGCTTCTACCATAGGATATACATTTTTTACATTCGAAGAATAATATTTTCAGAGATCGTGCGAGGATTGATCTTCATTACTTGAGGATACTATTAATTATTTTTATAAGGGTCGGCGACGTATTAATCTTGACTACTCTATAATAACTCAGATTTTCCATTTATTTTCACTCACCAGAAAATCTGCTGGGAGTATCAAACAATTTTGTTACAATTTAACTATATCGTTGCAGCTGGTTTCTATCCAGTGTTAGCGAGAGTCTTACGATGTCTTGTAAGATGACATACACATTGTGTTGTTCATTATATACATCTACTAGTACAATAAAAGAACATTCAAAGGGATTTTGAAATATCATGAATTGCGCGAAGGGCTTTTCGTTTTTCTGTGACATGATCATCCTAAAAAGATATAGTAAAATATAGTTATGTCTACATGTAGATCCTTAGCGCTACAAAACGGAAGTTCCCTTGTTAAGTTGCCTACTTGGAAATGCAAACGAATCCCGCGAGGTATGATCGTAAGCTCCACCGCTGGCCAGTAGCGAAGCTTAGTAGATCGTTCAGGCGTAACTCTTGATAATATTTGACATTAGACATCGTAGCATTACCATTGCTCGCCTCGTGGTTGTCAGTAGTTTCCTGTCGTACCGCGCACCACTGCTCTAAACCTACAGTTTTCCAGCGCGTGCTGCCGCGACATCCGAATTCGCTCACTTTCCGCATCTCAATGGTACTGGCTGAGCTGCCGGAAGGGCCGCCGACAGGGGTTTGTGCGACATGAAGGAACTATTTTGGAAACCTCGTGGGGTAAGTACGCATTAGCTGTATATAATATTTATAGAGTAACTGGCATTTAGGGCTGGACAAAATAGTCCCTTTCAAGTAAGCAAGCTGTCAATCATTATCAACTTACTGACACGTTACTAAGAATCCTCTTCCTCAAATTTGACTGCCATAGGTTTCACTAAACACATTCAGCACAAGCGAACATCAGCACACGCGAACATCAAACCTGTTAATCCCTTTATATGGTAACTTGCTTATTATTCAGGACTTCATTATGTAATGACAATTTCCAATTGCTCAAAAGAAGCTTCAAATATTATAAATTCACATCCCCTCAAAAACAATCTGCAACTAACCATTCCAAAGTGCCCCTTTCTCAATGCATCTACATAAAAACCGAAGTAAGCGCTCATATGTAAAAACATCATTTTTATCAAATAGGTACAAATAGTGAGATTTCCGCTACCCACTGTAAGCATTCTGTAGGAACATGCCACTAATATTTTTTCATCTTGATGTAGGACAAAATGGTCACCTCCGTGGACACACATTTTAGATGCTCCTGTAGCTTATAAAACCATCATCTTATATGTTTTCAATCATTGATCTATGGTCGGAACGTAATGCTACGGCAGTAAGATTAGAAGCTCGATTGTTCCAAAATTAGCAAAATCATGCTGTCACTTTTATACGCATGCGAAAAAATGTTATATAACTATTTTTTTGTCGAATGATTTGAAATGACAGATAATTTTGCCTCTATTCTTAGAACATGATCCGATATTTTAGATAGTGTTAAGTTTCTTCAATAAACGCTTCTTACTTGTAAATGAGAACTTCATGGCTGTTTTCAGCCACGGATGTGACAAATCGATAAAATACTTAATTTACGTATTCCTAGAACTAGACCCTGATGCATCTCTGCCGACTTGTAATCTCCCCGATAATCTTACGTTTTTGCCTATAAAAGCGTTCAACACCGATGGATGGTATGCTACTTTGAAATTCAAAATCTATGAGCATGTTTATGAGAATCTCTCATTTAATGATTTTAGACGTTATATCGCAAGCCAGTACTTTAGCTTACTTAAGTGCTGTGGACAATGCGAAAGATTAGTGATCCAGTTCTTGGCCACCTAACACCTGAAACTTATCTTGGGGTTTTCAGGCTGATAATCCTCCGTGCTTGTCATACCGCTTAATAAATCTACATATGTTTGAAATGCTATTTACTGACGACGACGTATCGGTCACCACGTCGTCGTCAGTAAATAGTATTCCAAGCATATGTAGTTTCATTTCTAATGGCTGGACAAACATGGATGATTATCCAATTCTTGCTGGTACTAAATGTTGGCCGTGGTCGGGTTTGAATTTTGTTTGAAATTTTTAGGAAGTGGTTCTTTCGATTTGAGGATAAACTTCAATCCTTATCCTTATATTAATCTGCCTACAGTCTCTCGTGGATTTGAAGCCGTACAAAAAATGGAGACCCGCGTCAAACATACTTATGCAGGTGTCGTTCAAAAATTTTCATAGCTGTATTTCATAATTGGAAGTACCACATCAACTCCTCAAGGAATGCTCTCGTTCTGCTTTTTGGGATGCTGCAAAAACTATTTTTCATATTACTGATCAGTAGACTGAGGCTTAAAAACTTCGAGGATACCAATCATATCCAGTTTTGTGTACCTATATAATTTGTACATAAAGGGGAAACGTTCAACGCATGTATATCTTAAAAAACTGAAAGAGTAAATATGCTTTTCGATACCTCACTATTATCTGAAGTTTGATTGTTGTATAGATGTTCCAGTTGTAATGTAAGATACTCAAACAGCGTGAAATTTGTTTTCAAGCATTTGAGCCGCACATCAATGATCGTACTCGAACTTCAAGATTCTCTAGACATATTTTTTGTCGTGCAGGTTCAGAAACCTCTACAAAGAAAACAAAACATACGGTAATTCTGGTTGCCACTGTATAGAGATAGTATTTATGGTTGTTCTCGTTTTTCTAACTAGGACTTTTAAACATTTGACAACTGTACAGTGTGTTCTTTTAAAAGAGGTTCTACTTATTTTTTAAATAGATGAAGTTAACGTCCTGATATTAAGGATGATGGAAATGATCAAAAATATATTCTAGCGTAGGTCCAGGTGGCAGTTGAAGATTTAAAAATTACGGATTTCCGCATTTTCTAAATTAGATTGAGTGGTCATGTAACATCTCATTTTGAAGCCCCTCAAGTGTACTTTATTAGATTAGAGCAAAAAATACGTGCATTTCAGATAGGCGAACTAGTGGGCTGCCAAAGTTGATCATCTGTCTGCATTGAATCGTTCATAACTCAACTACCAATAAAAGCATAAAAATACTATAGTGTTCAATATTATAAGATCAGCCAAATCTGTTTGTACAGATAGACCCTTCCAGACAAAACATACTGTAGCGTGTTGATGAGTAGTCACTGAGCTATAGGCGATTCAATGTACAGAAGCACAGACCGTCAGTCCGGTGTTCTGAAAGATAGCAAATTTATACTGATTAGGAGCTTCAAAACTAAGCACCGCATGCCCCCATTATAGTTGAATAGTGTCGCTATCTTGCAGTTTTCAACTGCCACTCTTACGGTTATCATAAAGCCATCATTTCCATCGCCCCGAATTTCAGCTTGGTAACTTGACCCAATAAGTAGGGAGAATATTTAAAAAACTACTATATGTGAGAAAAACATGGTTAGGTTGCACTACGAATTAGTCAATCTATTTGACCCAACGTTTTTTTATGGATTCCGTCAAGGTTCACGACTCATTTCTGCAATGCTTCAGTGAATCTTGCCCTACGCCCGCTTTCAGCTCTTCTAAAAATGCCCCTTTTGTATCTTTCATCCCTCCTGCAATCTATTTTCTGAAATATGAAAGTGGTGTAGTCAACCTATTTTTCGCAGAGGTTGCAAATTCATTTAGTATATGGAATTAGTAGCCGTTGCAGTGTATTCCACGACAAATCAAAAAGGGAAGCACAGATATGGCTTTTTGTATATTGCCTCAGTATGTTGTACAAACGTTTTTATATTGGATTGCATGTTTGAAAAATCGTGGAATGTTCCATTTATAAAAAAATGTCATTACATGTTATTTTTTCAAGAGGAATATCTCATCATTCATCAGGTAGAGGTAGAGGTAAAATCGTGTTTCATCATTAATTTTACCGAATAATAATAATCTTGTGTTTGGTATCATTGTGGAGCTTTATAGTCCAACCATATTAGACGATAATACAACTGGTTTGCGAAATAATTGTAAAGACTGGTTTTATTGCTGCAAGTTGATCAATGGGGTATTCAAAACATGGACGCATAAAATGGGTACACCAATTTTCGTAGGAAAACCTTTTGTTCGACAACAAAGAATGAGAAAACGTGTCTTTTGCAATTCAGTCGAAAGTGTTGGCAGAAACGAAAAAAACTCTTTACATAAAATTTTTAAGTATTTATGAGACCCAAAATTAGACCACACTTAAAAAGATGACTAATAACAAAAAAGATATGGCCGACACTTGTTGGTAATGCCACGATCTTTTCTCGCAGATATTTGAAATTCTTCAAATTCGTAGGATCCGTACTTCTAAATGACCACAAAAAAATTGGAGTAGATCGGTTAAGTAGTTTTTGAGAATTTCTAATTGCTTATCCCAAAATACCTGTTTTCCGCCCTTCATTACTAGTTTATTGAACAATATGCAGGGTTAGTTTGAAAAGCATTTTATAGCAAAATACACTAGTTTACCTTGCCGATATGAATCGCAAACCATTCAGCAAAATAAATGTTTAATGCAAAAAAGATGGATTACGCTTGTTCTTCTAAACAAATTCAAACATTTCGTATTTGTGAGTAATTCGCAACAAAAGATGATAGACACATCCGCTTTGTTTCAAGATGTGTATAGTAACGTATGTTTTTCGAATATCGTAGCGCATTTGATCAATTACTCACAAATACGAAATGTTTGATTTTTTTTAGAAAAAAAAAACGGAACCGTTGTTTTTCGCATAAAAATAACATTTAGTTTTCGGAATGGCTTGTGATTCATATCGGCAAGGTAAGCACGTGTATTTTGCTATTAACTGCTCTTTGAACGAACTCTGTATATTGCTCAATAAACTAGTAATGATGGCCGGAAAACAGGTGTTTTGGGATAAGCAATTATCAAAAAACTACTTAACCAATATAATTCAGTTTTGTTGTAGTTATTTAGAAGAATGAATCCTTCGGATTTGAAGAATTTCAAGTAGTTCCTGAAATTATCGTCGCATTACCAAGTGCCAAAACCTACATTTTTTTCGTTTTTATCATTCTTTGTTGTCAAATAAAAAGTTTTATGCATCCATGTTTTAAATACCACCTTGAACAACTTGCACCAATAAAACTTTACAATTATTTCCGGGAAATTTACTAATATGATTAGACTATTAGATAAAAACAATACGTAATCAAAACATCGATACAAGCTACTGTAAAAGATCTGTTGATATAATAAGTAATTTGAAATGCTTTAATTCAATTGGGAATGTTAGTATCAGTTAAAACATGCGCAGAATGGATTGTGAAGCCTTTAACACGTATATTAAATTGTGCCTTAGCAGAACTAGTATTTCCAGATTGAGACATAGCTATTATTGAAACTAAATGCATCCACTATAAAATTTATTATCGTATATTAGCACACATTGTTGTTTCAGCTTTGCAAGATACTCTTGTTCATGCTTTTGATCCAAACCTCAAGCGCACGTGGCTCAAATGCAGACGAAAAGGATTGCTGCCATGAGAGCAGGGCTCTTTCATCTTGGTTTGACTCTTGGTCTATCTATCCATCCAGTTCTTCGTGGTCCATAGACAGCAGCATACCTATGATAACAGGTAAATATAACATACTTAGTTGCTTAAAAAGTAGTGTTTAGTCGAGCATTTGCTGATTTTTTATATATGCTATTCATGTTGCGGGAACATATGGATACAGAGAACGAATATAATTTACCTGGAACCTAGTTAAGCCTATATAGGGCAACTGAAAACAAGGCGCCAGCTAGGTTGACTCTTCACTTCCCACCCAACGCTACATAAAGCATTATATTCGGCACAAGTTAGCTGCAGTGAGAAGAAAGTTATCTACGAACATGTTTGAAACTAAAATTATATGGATCAAGTCAGTCAATCAGATCTATAGAATTAATCCGATGTCCCCCTATTTAGGAATTTCTTTCTTGCGCTACCAACAGTGCTGACCATCTGGCAATGCTGACAATGAGTTGAAATTATTTGTCTGTCATGCTGTTTTAACGGCAAATGTACGGAAAAATGTCGTACACTAAACGGAAATTTAAACATGTATCGCCCGCGTACTGCAAAAACAAGATAACTCCATTTTTCTACTTTTTGAGATGAGTAGTTTTACAGACATATCTTTTACGGATAAAGCGGCCTAGTTTATGTTTTCTTCTATTTTAACTTGGCATTGGAATAAAACTCCGATGCCACTGTAACACGCATTTTGCGATCTGATTTGTCAATTTTGCCAAAAATGATAATTACTCAAAAATTTCGTTCTGCGTCCTCAGCATCCTAGTAATAACCTCGTGTGAAAATTTCATGACGATCCAAGAGGTACCTTCCACTTCGCAAACGGGCCAAGGTTTAGCAAACAGACAGGCAACTGGCAGATTGACAAACGGACATATCTACGAAAATGAGTGACATGAGTTTTCATAATGTACATGTCATATAAATCCAAAAAACATAATATCTCATTTTCGGAATTTCTCACGATTACCATACTTATTCGTCAGTGACGAGGCAACGAAAAGCACAGGTATTGTACCAGGGCAGTAGTTACGTTTTAATGTGACATGAAAAGTTCCTATAGGTGTGGATCGTGAAGTGCTTCCGTAAAGAAAGACAGGGTCCTGATCCTTTAGTTTCAAAATCATGTTAAACAATTATGTATCTGGAGTGAATAAAAGCACCGACTTAAGGCTTTGTAAATGTAATATGAAGAGCATCACCAAAGCAGTAATCGTCTTTCGTGTCTTGATTGGAAAACCTAGATCCCTACAGAAGAAAGCCTCTCCCATGAGAGTTTCCTTAGACTACCCCTTTAGGAGAAATCTTGCTTTGAATAACTAAGATATTTCCGTGACACCCTTAATGCATCAGATTTTTGACTTTCTGCATACACAATTGTTGGCGCAACAATTCAGGAATTAGAAATTCCAGGAACATTGCCACATTGTTTAATTGAATATTTCGCGGCGCCCTTATGACGGGATAATTTGGGAATCACTGGTCTAATCCTTCATAGTTTCAATATAGGCCGATACCAGGTGCGTTGATAACCCAATAGATACATTTCTTAGCGGACGTAATGCCGGTCTAAGCACTTATACATGTGGAGCATATTTCTCATTATAAAGCGCCAATCAATATCATGAATAACAAAAATTAATTAATGATTTAATGTTAAAATTATCGAACATTTTCCGGATGAACTATTTATTGTATTGGTTGACCAGTTTCGATTGTTTTTTCCGTTATGTATGGATATGACGGTTCAGCGGATCAAGAAATCTGCAACCTCCTTTATACCTATAAGAAATACGAGTGCAATATCTGGCAAACTGTATCAGTATTTTTATACTAATAGCACACATAAATATGTGTGAGGGTTGAATGATCGGATAAAAAATGTCAACTTTTCATGGCGTTCGTGATTTCTTCTCATGCAAAGTATTTAAGGGACTCCGGAAAAACTTAAATACCGGCACGGGTATTACGTATCTTGAAAACTAACATCAGGTCGTTGTTTTTTGACATTATATTATTTTTTTGTGATATTAAGTAGGTTTTTCCACAAGATGTTAGCACTCGCTTATGGACACTTGTTGTGAACTCGCTTTGTAGTTGTACGTGTTGCCTAAAAGTCATGATGCTTCAGTTGTCAATATTTGGCTCTGATGTGTTGTAAAATCCGCTTCAGAGATGGTATTCTTGGAGATCTAAGCTATAAGCTTTATACTATAGCTAGAAGCAAACGTCAGCGCATAGATGCATAGTGAGGATTTGTGTGCTAATAATTTGCGTTGATGATTCCATTGGTTCCTGGTTTCAAATACACTTACTTGAGATTCAAATCTAGAAATTAGTTCTGCGCTCACTTTCTCTTATTCATTCTGGATACTACACATGCAAATTTGATAAATCTCAAAAATGAGAGAGATAAGAAAAGAAAATCTCTGGTTGGTGAAGTAACAGGTGAGAACGTATGCTACAGACAGGAATATTTATGAAAGTGAAAAGGTTATTACATTATTTTTTATTTTAGGTGATTCAAATCTTATAGGAATTCACGATATTTTGCGATGTCAATACAAAATATAAATCAGCGCCTAGATGTGAGGCAATGCAAAATGTTTGAGCTGCGATACGTCATTCCTGATTTTTCTGTGATGTGGCTCAGTTGCACACAACGCGGGCGCGTTGGCGATTTCCTGTAATGCTGCGGTAAACATCGTGTAAGTTTGAACATAACCCGTGTTCAGAAAGGACAACATATAAATAACCGGTCAGGCACAGCTAATAGACATACTTTATTGGCAGCATATTCAGCAATAATTTTTTCACATAGCAAATATCACTGGTTTTATACTCATGCAGACCAATACACATAATCATCCAGAACCAATCTTGCTACTCAACCAAGTTTCTTTCTTTCTCATCTTCTCAGAAATAAACACTACAGACTACTCGGCTTCACAAAACATATATCAATGTGTGTAGTTGAGTCATTCCTCCATACATGGACGTTCACAGCGATCATAGTGAGCAAACGTGGAATGTATATATTATTTGCACCCTAAAGACTGCCTAGTCTGCAAGATGACATTTCGTTGCTTTTTTCAAATTTTTTATTGGTTTTTTTAAATAATAGCAGCGCAGGTAAGTGTTATGTTCATCTACAAATTTCGACAGATAATCCAAGGTTGTCCTAGTTAAGCGTTCCACGCTGCCATCAGACAGGTTGAAGAGTAGTTGTCCTAGTTTTTCGGATTCCAAGCACCTCCATTAGTTGTGTAAAAACGCAGATTCAAAATTTCGGCCCCGATCCGGTTGTAGGTCTGCCTTCTTCCGTTTCCTACTTACTGAATTCCTGTTTTCGTTTTATTTCAGATTCTTTCTTTTCCATCAATTCTATTTCAGTTATCTTGAGAGGTTTTCTTGACGATATGCAGCTAGCTTGAGTAGATTTCTTCGTCAGCCTTACTGTAGCGTATACTCTGTGGACAGCCTATGACGTCATCTATTCCGTCAATAAAATGACGGGTTACAACGTATAACCACAGCTTAGATAACAATCTGATGCAAAGCTTTTCTATCGGTGACAAAAATAGCTGCCTAACCTCGCCCTCAACTACATACTCCTTTATGTGTTCTAGTAACATGTGAAGATCATTTTCTGGAAAAGTCAAGAATTCCACAAACTGACACTTGCGTGTTTGGTTAATACCGATAACTTACTTTTCATCAACAGTAACGAGATGGTCTATCCAGTTTTAAAATACGGCAAAACGCTTTAACATATACACAGACCTCTGCCCGATGAGTGAGTTGATCTTTGCTAACTGATGTGGTGCCCAAATACCAAACTTTTAAGTCTTGTGCGAGCACTCGACTTGCAGGAAAATCACGAGTACAGCATCAAACATTTTCCTCAATTAAATTCTTTATTTGTTTTTTTTATTTATATCTGCTGGCGAGAAATTTTTTGAGGTGGTGAGACGAAGCTAAAGAACGTATGTCTGAGCTTACACGATCAACGGTTTGCAGATGCAGATTGGATGTATAAAGGTGGTGACGGTAGTATTAGTGTGTCGCACTTGGTGACCCGCCAAAAACTGTGAAATGAACTATAGAGAGACAAACCTAAGAAGTTGCATTGAGAGTGGAAGTATCTCAAGACAGCCTGTAAATAATTCTTCACCGATTAGTTGCCATACTCTGCAATGAAACAGACAATGTACTTGATGCAGCAGCGATTTAAAATATCTACTATGAATTGGTACATGAAGGTCTGTGCACTCAGCACCTTTTCAAAGAAGAAGTTTATCATACTTCATCATAGTTGTGTGCGCAAACAATTCCAGAAGAACGGACTTAAGGAAACCCTCGACATGAGACCATGTGTGTTTGCTGTGAGATCTAATGTCTTGTTCTCGTGATCGCAGCCGTGGCTGACACAAATACCGCGACAAACTGTTACAGAAACAAAAGCTAAGCAAATGAAAAGTCGCACAATGCACCTAAGTATTTACCCAGAATGAAGCCGATACGTATATTTACCATAACTGTACCAAACGAACATAAATATGCTTGCAATAATGATATAGACACGGACTACGACGCTGATAGGAGGTCCCCCTCAGATCACTAAATAATGTTTATTGCAGACATTTGTATCGTCAAGTTGATGAAGTGCATGGGCATTGCATAAGACGGAAGAAATAAAATCATGGTAATTATTCTGTATTTGCTATGAGCGATTAATTTTTGCAGATCGGATCATCTTCTACTTGCCCATATTTGAGAGTACGGTGGAATGAAAAAAGCGATAAATAAGTTTTGATCCAGTTATCATACAAATAAGCGTTTAATATTTAGATCACTTGTAAGAAACTACGTGTATGGCTAGTATTTATCCCCAGATTTGAAGCTTACCTAACTGCCATTTCGCCACTGTTTTCGAAATTGATAATGGAGTTGAGAACAGTCGAGGGAGAATAAGACATTTTTGCTTTCCGATTGGAAGACCATTTTGGAGTCGTTAGAACGATATTTAAAACTGAGTGTTTCCTTCTAAATGACAATGA